TTTTATGCTTTTTATGTATTGTTTTAATGTTTGTCTCTTGGAATTCCAAACCGGCCTTTGGAATTCCAAGATTTCTTTTTCCATGGTGGCTTCTTGAATTCCACCATGGCTTTATTTGTTTGCCTCTTGGGATCTCACGGTTGGGCTCCTTCTTCCGTGACTGTCCCTCGTTTCCCATGGCCGTGGCTCTCGGTCCGTGCGGTTCCCCTCGTCTCCCGTGGCTGTCTCCTTGGTTCCTGGTTTGGGTGTTAAACCGTGAGCTTGGGGGGGAGATTCCCATGCTTTTAATGCCTATTTTTATGTGTTAGAATTTATGTATGTATCCTTTTGTATTCCCCTTTCATACCTATAAATATGAGGGGTTATGTAATGTTTGAAAAAGTTAAGTGAATATGATTTGATTTTTGGAAAAAAATCTGTTAACCTGTGGGTTGCTTGGAAATCCTGCGGGCTCTTTCCAACCTTTCTTCTCGAGCTTCTAATCTCTTTCGTCTCTCCGCAAGTGCCACTCCACCTGTATCCTTCTTCTCTAAGTGAAGCAACTTTAGGGTGTCGTCATTTTATTTGCAAGAGTCGTTTGTATTGTTGTAAGTTTTCTTTTGTTTAGTTTAATTTGAAATGTAAGAGTTTGTTCGTTCCTTTTCTCTTCCTATTCTCAATTTTCGTCCGTAGAAGTCCATCGTGTCCTTTGCGATCAGGAGATATAGGCTCCCTATATCTTTTGCCCGCGTCAAAAACTTACTCCAATGAGCACAATGACGTCTCCAATGCCAAAGGTAGAAGGACAACACAGTATCTCCAAGATCAACAATTTAGGTCAAGAAATTAGAATCTACCTTCCCCTTAAGCAAAAAAGTTCTAGTATGCAAAGTCAAACATGTAGAAATTCACAACAATGAAATGCTTTAAATCTGACTACACGATATAGTTGGTGGTGGGATTTTTGATGTTGGTGTACGAGAAATTGAGTGGAGATAGGGGTTTGAGGCAAGTAAAAGTTCCATTAATTTCCTAGCAAAGCTAGAAAAACAAAGTTAAACCTGCCTGTGGTTTACCCTTTTTACCAGATACTTCGAAATGTGTAATACGTGCGGAATACGCATGCACGCAACGAGAAGAAGGCATGAATAAACTGATGTTTTTCACGGAATTCAAGAAACATGCAACTTTAATAAGAAAACTGTTTACTGCAGTAATTTTGAAAATAATCTACAATAAAGTACGAGTGGTATGAATAATAATTTGAATGATTAGCAGAATACGCACCACTCGAAATGGTGTTCCTGTTATACAACACCAAGGAGGTATTTCTCTTACTCTCCCACGGTTAGCATTCCTTCTAGTACCAACCCTCTTCTGAGTTGAAAATTTGCTAGCTTTTTCTACATGGTTAAATGATCTCAAAGGATTGAAGCCTCTTGCTTTATATGCCACCGGACCATGGAAGTACTGCGTGATCAACTTGTTTCCTGGTAAACCTATATTTTTCTTGTCATCTGAAGCTGCGTTAGAAGGGTTATTCTCCCCATCTTGAGCCAGACAGTTTCTTTGACGAAGCTCATTAAGCGCATGAACAATTTTCTTTCGAGGCCCAACAGCAACAACACCAATACTGATAAGATCCTAGAGTACAAAGGGATATGACATGAGTTCACGTGAAATACTCAATAAAAATTAAAACATTCGCAGCAATGCATCCATCAAATAACTGAAAGTTTCAATATCTGCTAAAGAAACACTTGGGTATTAAAATATCTAAAGAACAAATGAGATATTCAGAATTAATGTAACTACAGAGGAATTAAATTTAGGAGCCACACAATGAAATTCTGAGAGGATAATGAAACTTTGACTTTTCAAAACTATGTCAATATGTCATTATTAGAGAATCAATTTAGTTTTATGTCAAAAAAGTTCATTATGGAAGGTAATTTTATCCTGAGACAATTAATGAAAAAATATAACAAATAATAGAGAAAAAATTGTACAAATAATCATGACAATATGGTATTAAGTATAATGTAGCATTAACTAAGATTAGAAGTAATTATGAAGTGACCAACAAATTTCTAATTAAAATGGGATTTCATCATGAATCAATATTAAGACTATCTTTTTCTTCTTCTTTTTTTCGTTTACCAAAGATACATGTAAGGAATATTCAAAATAAAGTATCTTAATGTATGTCATTCGCATATAATATATTTCTAATCAGTGAGGCATCCATTAAAATAAGTAGAAAATTGGAACATAGGAAAATGATTAGAAGATAATGGGCTTAGGATTAATATAACAAATACTAAGTATATGATACCAAATTTAGCAGGTGTGATATTAAAAATTATCCATCAATACACTCGAATCTAAAATTTTATCTTCTAATTTAGCGGGTGAGTACAAAAATGTACTTCAAGTGTATAATACCATAAGAGAATATAATAAAAAACATAAAAAGTAACTTTCATAAAACTACAATTGGACCAGCTATTTAATATGGATCTAAGTTTTGATCAATGAAAAATTCTAGTAAAAAATTTAAAAATGGCATAAATGATAATATTAAGATAGATGAGTCAAAACATTATAAAAAAAAGATTGAGAAAAGCTTGTATTTAAAAGACAGAGGGAATATCATATGCTGAAAATAAGGTAGTCAAAAATATACTAGGCAGTTATAACATATACAACTAACAGTAGAAAATATCCCCAAAAGATTTAATATTAGTTTCAAAGATATTAAAAGAAGATAGGTAAACCGAATATAACAAGGACAGAAGTTATGCATAAAAATTTAAAAATAACAATTTTTACTATACCGTCCACTCAACATGAGAGAATGAGGAATGAGGATTCATAAAGACCACAAATAGTTAGGAAAACAGTACCATGATAATCCACTAAAGAATTATGAAGGAAAAACCTAGGAGTTGTACACATATAGATCAAGAAGTTACATGCAAACCTCTTCTGTCAGCCATTGCAGAGTGTCCCAGTCAACCTCCTCCCTAATGAAAGCCTCCTCATATCGGCAGAGATCCAATGCCCTTAGCCACTCAAGGACTGGGTTAGTATCAAAAACCTGATTACATGCATTAGGTTTTGTTTGACCAGGAGTAACAGATACCTGTGATGAATATATAGCTTAATTGCTAGTAAAAATCCCATGCTACAAGGAGAATTACTGCCTTAATTTTTTTGTTGATTGCAATAAGAAAGTTAGGCAATGAAAAAAAAAATGCCTTCTGTAGTAAGATAAGTTTAAAAAACCATAAATATGAATCTCTATCATGAAGGGTTAAAATTTTCATAACAATTAAACAATTAACATTTTTAAAACGATGGGAGAGAAAATATAGATGACAAATAATAGCCTACTGCATTACATAGGAGGTTTTTAAATATGGTAAACAAACATGGAAGGAAAAGTATAGTACCAAATTGAATTAAGGAGTACTAAATCTTACATGTTATAGATCAAGTAGACAAACTGAAAACATAATCTCTGACAGTCTGACCCATTTAGAAATCATCAGACACAAATGCATATTTTTAGAGAATTTTGGATTCTACTCATTTTACAAATAAGAATAGATTCCATATTGAACGTAGTGTCGCAATATGATAGTTTTGTTATTTGATTACTAGCTATAAATGGTTTGAATGTCTTTTATTCTCTCCACTTAGTTTTAGGATAATTCCTCACTGAAATAAAATGCTAAGTACTCAATCCCTAATCCATAAATCTACATGAGCCGAGATTTGCAAAAGATATAATGCAACTTAGTTTTTTTTTTTTAATCTTCTTTTATTTCTCAGTTGTGTTTTTCATCTGTTCATGACCGATCTCAAATTAACAGATGCCATGTCTTACTGATGCAGGAAGATGGAGAAAAATCTTTAACTAGTAAGCGCAGGGATTTCAATTTAAAGATTATTTTGGCGCATCCCTACAAGTTCACCCACTAAAACTCTTCCAACCTTCTCTGAAAATTATTCCCTTCAAATCACCACAACAAAACTGAATAATCACAATTGGGTCACAACAAAACTAAATAATCACATGGAAGGAAAAGTATGTAAACAAAGAGATGACGCAAAAAAATGAGAAAAGCAAGGTTGAGGACTTATAGGTCACAACTAAAATGAATATCTATGATTTTGATACCAAAGGATGCAAAATCGAAAGCAATTATTGATATGATCTTACCGGTAGTTTAGGGAAAATGGGGAACTCAGCTTAAAACGAAAAACCTCTTAACCGAAAATTCTCCTAGGTTGGAGTGGTTTACCCTTAGCTTTGGTAGGTTTTTTTAAAATAACGGTTGCAATCCGGTGATTAATGTGGCTGAAAACAACCACTACAATAGGTGGACAGCTGCTTTTTTGCAATTCAGGATGAGAAAAAGGTTGTAGACAGCCTCTGGAATGGATCTCTGGGCAGAACAGGGGAGGAATGTTGTTGTTCTTGAAGGCCTGGACTGAGCAGGACGCTATAGACAAACTAGGGAAAGAATTTTGGGGAGAATAGAGAACAGTGGGCTCATTTACGCAATTCTTCGTCGGTGAGCAGGACGCTATAGACAAACTAGGGAAAGAATTTTGGGGAGAATAGGGAACAATGAGTTGTTTTTGTTGTTTTGGGCGGCTATTTTGCTGCAGAAAATGACAGGAATGATGGTTGGCCAAACCTGGCAGCTGGTTGTTGCTGTGGACAGTAGCAAGGAAAGGGAGGAGGGAAGATTCCCAAGCAAAACAGAGGCTGAATTCTGGAGGTAAGAAGAGAGAGTGCAGTTCTTGGAAACTCCAAGGCAACACCTGATGATTGGTGGCAGAACTAGAAGGGAGATGAGGGGCTCGACTTGAGACCTGAAAGATGAGGATGGATTCTTAGAGACTCAAAGACAGTGACGGGGAGAGTTGTTGTCCAAGTTCAGCAGGGAACCAATGGAAAGAAGGAGGGGGAGGGAGGTTCGGTTCTTGGATACTCCAAGCATAACCTGCGGTTGAGGGGGATGGATGGAGGAGAAAGGGAAGTTCTTGGAGACTCCAAGAGGGGCCATAAAGGGCAACCACACTTAAGGAAACATTCAGGCAATCACACTTAAGGAAACATTCACAAATTTGATCCATCAAAATATGTCATCTTTCTTATTCACAAAAGTCTTTAAATAGGCATGTTTTTCAGATTTTACATAAAAGTCCTTCCAACTATCCAAATTCAAAAAAAGAATACAAAATTTGGCTAAAATAATTCAATGGAGTATTTATTAAATCACTCGGATGAGATTAACACTTAATGATATGGCTAGGCTATTATTGATGGGCCATTTTAGGCTCTCGTGGGCCCAAAGTTGGGTTAGCCCACTAATTTCTTCTCCACCTTCCTAACTTTGCGCGCGTGTAGGCTCTCCAATGGTAATTTAAAGAGGACTTTCATGATTGTTAGCTTGATCTGTATCAATTATCTTGTTATTGTTGTTGGATTTACTTAGAAGAGAAAGTTCTAAGAGAGAGGGAACAAGATGAAGAAAGGGGAGAGTGGATGATTAGCCAAGAAGACATAAGTTAAAGGGGATAAAAGAGAAAAAGCTAGGGTTTTTGGAGAGCATCCATATAGGGTTTTAAAATATTTGTAAACACCAATAATCGCCATAATACAAAACTAAAACCTTTTATAAATAAAGATTAAAGCATTCATGACTACAAAAAAAATAAATATTTTCTCTTTATAACATGAAAAATCATGAAATAAAATAAGCACGACATAAACAAGCATGCAATGAACATAAGCATAACATACGGTCTTTTCATACATCTGATGAAGAGAAATCAATGGGTTATGTTGGTCATGGATTAGTTCAAGTGAAGGATAATTTTACCATATTGGTGTCATTTTTATCTAGGCAATCATTTGTATGAATCTGTCGCATCTCTTCACTCAATTTTGTGATGTCAGTTTGACATAATGGACATTGGACCAATGAATTCCTTTCTGAAACAATCAACTTTGTGCCTAAATCAAATTGTTCAAAAGAGTGCATTCCACTGCCAGAATCGCCTTGCTCACCCGTCTCGCAACAGTGGTCCATCAACATATTTAACTGAGTTCCCGGTTCAAATTCCTCACAAACACCCGCTTCTTCACCACAACTTGTGATTCTATGAGGAACCAACTTTCCACTTGGATTAAGAAGTTTGGCTTCAATAGACAAACAATTATGATTTCCCTTTTGCTTGTCCGGCAGAACACTACCCGCATGACAACTTTCAAAACTCACAAATTGCATTCCTCCAACTGGACCCTTTTCCTGTACCTTTGGATCACTAAATTGTGTATTCAGCTTCAATTCCTCATAACCATGTATTCCTGAAGCATAATCTTCACATCCAGACAAGACTGACTTCTCTTTTAACTCCAAAAGCCTAGATTCAGATGAGATTCCCCCATTGACTTCTGTTGCACCGTGATCAACAAAATGGTTCAGAATCCGAAATTCCATCTTCATCCTTGACCAATCTTGTGCGAGTTTCAACTCTGTTGATGTAAGGCGAGTTTCCCCCTCTTCAGCCTCATTACAGACCTTGCATTCATGAGCAGATTCTGTCTCCCTCACAGCCACTGACTTTTCCGAATTGTAAGAACTCCTTGTATTGGTACTGAGTTCATCATTATCTACACAAACATCAGAACAATTCCAGTCAACGCTGGAAGAAGCATTGACCGCAGATTTCAAAAGGCTTGACTCAACAGACACCAGGCACTGGCTTCCTTTCCCAAATCCCACTTCTTCACATGGACAACTATCCAGAAACTCCGATACCTCTGATGCTGATATATTCGATTTCAGACCATCAATGCCATCCTCCTCAACGCATCCTACACCAAAATCCATGTCCCCTAATCCAACAGGAACAATCTTGTGGAAAAGATCCGTCCTTTTCGTGCTCACTGGAATTTTCTCCTCACCGCCTTTAGAAACCCTAGAATCCGAAGCTCGGTTATTGAGCATACTGTCATTCTCCTTCCCATTTGCAGCAGAAAGCCTCGGTCTCTTCCGAGCACGGTAGCCATTGGAGGGTTTCAAGGGCTGAAATTGACTGCTTTTGAGGGAGGAGAGCATGAGACTCTGGCTGAGCGCTACAGCCTGGCTTGGGTTTTGGAAGTCGTCATTATCGTCGTGGCCGCCATCGCAGTCCCCTTCCACCATCACAAGGGCTAGGGCTTGTAGGTCCGAATCCAAAGCCCTAGGGTTTTTTACCAGATTCAAATTCGGTGGCTTCATGGAGATGGAGCGAGAATGGGATGAAGAGAGCCGGAGAAGCTCGGACTACGAGCTCCTTAGCTCCCCGCTGATTGGATTATTTTGAAATAGATGGACGGATCTGATGCGGAGCATCCTAGCTTATATGGGATCTGGGGGAGTAACTTAACACCTTATTACTAGTATTGTTAGAATGTGGAATCTTCACTATCCTATTACTATAGTTAGTTACTTAGTACACCTCTTCAGTTTTTTAGCTTTATGCCGTTTACAGCAAAGGAGCTGTAGGTGACTTATATCCCGCAAGGGTCTCCTTGATGAAGCAGTTTTTGATATTATCTCTCAATACAGAACTTAGTTCTCTGTTTTATTTGCTTGCTTGTTTCTCTGTTTCCATCTTCTTGCAGGTATCTACATCATAATCTAGTATCAGAGCAAGGATGGCTGAGGGCAAACGGTTGGCCACCGGTGAAGATCGCAGCCTTCAAGCCTTGTGGATTGAACATGCCAACTTGGCGAGAACGACAGAAGCTCTATCTGCCGACGTCAATCGTTTTTTTGGCAAAATGCGCCGGGAACTACGGTTGATTCAAGCACGTCTGGACAGGAACCAAACCGCTCGGATGCTACCGCCGGCAACCACACCGGCAACGAGGCGTGGGTTCGTCGCAGACAGGGAACGACTGCCGAATAACTTAGCTCCAGAAGTTTCAGAATCTGAAGAAGAAGAACTGGAAATTTCTAATACCTTGGAGGTTTTCGACTCGGAAGAGGATCCAGGAATGGCGCGAAGACGATGTCCGTGGCTCAGAGAAAGAAATCACAGTGAGTTTCGCGTCAAACTTGTTATACCATTTTTTTTATGGTAAATTGCACATTGAAGATTATTTATATTGGGAAAGGGCCGTCGAAACTTTCTTCGAGTACATGGAGATTGATCCAGAAAAACAAGTGAAATATGTGGCGTGTAAGCTCAAAGGGGGTGCCAGTGCGTGGTGGCAACAAGTGATCCAATCAAGGAGACGTGAAGGGAAGGGTATTGTCCGCCATTGGCTTCGAATGAAACAACTATTGCGTGGACACTTTTTACCTATTGATTGAGCAAATGTTGTATGTGCAATATCAACACTGCTCCCAAGGATCGAGAACTGTGGATGATTATACGGAGGAATTTATAGACTCAGTGCTAGAAATAATTTAAATGAGACGGCAAATCAAATTGTGGCGAGATACATTGGTGGATTGAAAGATGCAATCCAAGATAAATTAGAATTAAATACAATTTGGTCGTTATCCCAAGCCGTGAACTACGCACTTAAGGCCGAAATGCAAATGTCCAGACACAGCAACAATCGGTCACACAGAAGAAGTTCGAAGCAATTTACCGAAGGCAATAAACAGCAATCCTATGGTTCGATCTCTGGTGCTAAGCACATGTCATCGGCTGCAGCAAATCATCCTCCTAACACAGGGCAAAGAGCAGCTGATATCAGGAATTATCAAAGAAATAAGGCTCCTGTAAAAGACAACCCTTATACCAAGCCGGCCAATATCAAGTGCTTTAGATGTTTCCAACAAGGTCACAAATCCAATGAGTGTCCGACTCGACCTCAGTTACAACTGTTAGAAGCCGAAGATGAAGAAGGAGATGACAGTGCAGTGGGCGGTCAAGACGAAGATCTCGAAGACGTAGCAGGAGATGAAGGGGAGGCCGTTGTTTGTGTGTTACAACGGTTGCTGTTAGCTCCACGGCAACCGACAGAGTCGTAGCGAAATGCTTTTTTAAAACAAAGTGCACGATCAAGGGAAAGGTTTGTGATATGCTCATTGACAGCGGATACACGGAGAATGTCATCTCGCGTGCGGTGGTGCAAGCTTTACAATTAAAAACATCCAAAAATCCAAACCCATATAAAATTAGTTGGGTTAAAAGAGGAGTCGAAATAGCAGTAATTGATATGTGCAAAGTTGCATTTTCTATTGGCCGTCACTATGCTAGCGAAGTTCTTTGTGATGTGGTTGAAATGGATGTGTGTCACTTAATTATGGGAAGGCCGTGGCAATTTGATGTTGGGGCAAATTATGACGGTCGGGCAAACACTTATTCATTTGAATGGAAACAAAAAAAATTAAGATTATTGCTTCGAGTGAATGAGCAGCAAGCCACTCCTACAACCAAAACTGCTTTGTTTGCAGTATCGGGATCAGCATTAGTCAATGCTTGGCGTGAATCTACGTGCATTATGGCTCTAATAGTTACAGAACATAATCATCCAAATCAGGATGAGTTAGTATATGTGCTGAGATTAAATCTTTACTACAGCAATTTCCTGATATCTGCCCTTCTGAGCTGCCATCGGAACTACCTCCCATGAGATCAATTCAGCATCAGATTGAGCTTGCACCAGGAGCTACCTTGCCGAACATGCCTCACTACAAAATGAGTCCCAACGAGCATAAAATCTTGCAGCAAATTGTTGATGAGCTATTAGAGAAACAATTGATCCAACCAAGTCTTAGTCCATGTGCAGTGCCGGCGCTCCTCGTCCCAAAAAAGGACGGCAGTTGGAGGATGTGCATGGATAGTCGGTCCATAAATAAAATTACTATCAAATTTCGTTTTCCAATGCCGAGGATGGAAGACATGCTTGATAAGTTGTCGGGAGCCAGTATTTTTTCTAAGCTGGACCTACGGAGCGGATATCATCAAATCCGAATTCGACCAGGCGACGAGTGGAAAACTGCATTCAAAATGCGCCAAGGTTTATATGAGTGGAAAGTAATGCCATTTGGCTTATGTAACGCTCCCGCAACTTTTATGCGCTTGATGAACGAGGTATTGAAGCCTTATTTAAACAAATGCTATGTGGTATACTTTGACGATATTTTATTATTCAGCGCTTCGATGGAGGATCACCGGCAGCATCTCTTGAGCATTTTTACTGTATTGAGGCAGAACAAGTTATTTTTAAATTTGTCTAAGTGTGAAATTGCAACCAAGCAGGTTTCGTTCCTTGGCTTTATCATCTTAGCGGAGGGGGTGAGCATGGATCCACGGAAAGTTACAGCTATCAAGGAATGGCCAACTCCTCGCTCGCTTTTGACATTCGGAGTTTTCATGGGCTAGCTAATTTTTATCGACGCTTCATCAAAGGGTTCAGTATTTTCATGGCCCCCATTACTGACATTTTGAAACAGGCTCAATTCACTTGGTCGGGGGAGCAACAAGGAAGTTTTGAAGCCATCAAAGTTGCATTATCTACTGCGCCACTTTTAGTCCTACCTGACTTTGACAAGCCATTTTCCGTCGATACGGATGCATCAACCATGGGAGTGGGTGTTGTGTTATCTCAAGACAACAAGCCAGTTGAGTTTTTCAGCGAAAAACTTTGCCCGTCAAGACAAAAATGGACAGTGTATGAACAGGAGTTGTATGCTGTTATTAGAAATTTAAAGCAATGGGAGCACTATTTATTACATCAAGATTTTGTCTTATGCAGTGATCATAAAGCTCTTCAATACATAAACACTCAAAAAAATATTAATCGGATGCACGCTCGTTGGATTATTTTCTTGCATAAATTTACTTTTGTGTTGAAACACAAAAGAGGAACACAAAATCGTGTCGCTGATGCCTTGAGTAGAAGAGCTGCTCTGATTACCCAACTTCAAACCGAGCTAATGGGCTTAGAATGCCTAAAGGAATTATATTCCACGGATGAGTATTTCCAAAAAATTTGGCACAAATGCTTGCAGCAGCAGCCGTTGGCTGATTACTCAGTACGCCATGGGTTTCTATTCTAAGGCAATTTATTGTGTATTCCGGAGAGCTCCTGGAGGCAGAGAATTATCAAAGAAACCCATTCGGGAGGTTTAGCGGCGCACCTGGGCAGAGATAATACTATCTCCCAACTCCAACGTCAGTTTTTTTGGCCTCATTTGGAAGAGATGTAACCAAGTTTGTGGAGAGGTGCTCGGTTGTCCATAGCTATAAGGGAGGCGGACAGAACACGGGTTTGTATCAACCGTTGCCGGTGCCATATTCAATTTGGGAAGACTTAAGCTTAGACTTTGTGTTGGGATTACCGCGATCAAGCAGAGGCAATGACTCCATAATGGTAGTTGTGGACCGCTTCTCAAAAATGGCACACTTCATAGCTTGCAAAAAGACATTCGATGCGCTCAACATTGCAAGGCTTTTTTTAAGGAAATTGTTCGGATGCACGGAATTCCTATAAGCCTTACGTTAGATCGCGGTGTCAAGTTTGTTAGCCACTTTTGGAGGGAGCTGTGGAAGCGGTTGAACACTCAAATTCAATTGAGTTTGTCGTATCATCTGCAAACGGGTGGACAGACGGAGGTGGTAAATCGCTCACTCGGCAACCTATTACGCTGCATAGTACAGGATCATCCCAAGCTGTGGGATGATTTGCTCGGCCAAGCAGAGTTTGCATTCAATTCAATGTCGAATCGATCTACCGGTATGTGCCCATTCAGTATTGTTTATACTAAAATGCCGAATACGATTCTTGATATTGCAGTGATTCCAAAATGCAAGAGCAAAGCTGCATCTGTACTTGTAGACCAATACACCGAATTTTTATCTAATGTGCGAATGAAGCTGCAAGCTTCAAATGCTAAGTACAAGCTTGATGCAGATAGCCATAGACGGGAGAAGCTGTTCAATCCCGGTGATCTAGTTTTTGTTCGCCTTCGCAAGGAACGACTTCCCGCCGGCGGATATTCTAAACTTGGCAAGCGGAAATGGGGTCCCTTCCCCATTAGCAAGAAGATAAATGACAATGCATATGTTGTCGATTTACTGGAAGAGTTCAATACTTCACATACTTTCAATGTTGCTGATATTTATGCATATATACCACCGGATGATAGCAACACACATCTGGATCCAGCAAGTACAGACAATTTTCTTAGCGGGGGCGAATGATGCGGAGCATCCTAGCTTATTTGGGACCTGGAGGAGTAACTTAACACCTTATTACTAGTATCTGTTAGAATGTGGAATCTCCACTATCGTAGTACTATAGTTA